TGTGTCATGGAGTGGGAGAGTAGCTCACACTTACCAAATAAGTTTTATGACTTCAGGCAGGGCAATGCACTACACTGTTTTTGTTTCAGGGCTTGTTTGTTTGCTGTTATGCTGGGGAGCTCTGCATCGTTTCCTTGTGGTTGTAGGAAGAAAAATGGACTATTGTGAAAACGTGTACTGCTTGTTCCCGTATGTGCGATTTCAGAATAGTAAAAGCTGCTCTCAAAAAGATTTAATTGGGTAGTCTGAGGAAGAAACTAGTATCCAAAACTAATTCTACTTCAGCAATTCTCCCTGATGCTATTGGCAAGTTTGCCGACCTTTGACTCAACTTCTACTGCTGCAAAAATAAAATGCTGCAATGGGCCTTGACATTAAGTGAAATGTGAGAATTAATTAGATGGATGCTATTTTGTTTGAATGCAAATCAAGTCTCCAGCAGTACTTCTCATTTGCCAATTACTGTAGCACTAAAAATGCCTGTTAAATGTTGTGTCTCCTTTTCTTAAGGTTGATCTGCAGTTGCAAGAAGTAGCTTTGAGAATGAGACAGCTTTAAAGAGAGAAACCTGAATAGAGATCACATTTCTCTGACTGAATTAAATTCTTACTGTGGCTCTACTTTGTGCCATTCGGTGAGCGTGCGCGTTCAAAAATTCACTTCGCGTAGAAAAGAGGCATTTATTAACAGAGCAGTTGGAAAGAGCATCCTTCCAAGTTCCTGTGCACTGCTAGTACCACCAAGTGCTCCCAGACACACTTTTACTAGAAGACCTGAGGGGCCGTGTTTTGCCATCTTAATCCTGTTTAACAACTGTATGCTTCTATTTCCTGTGTGCTCTTGCAACTAGGTAGCAGCACAGACTCTGATTCATCAATTATGATGTAGAGAAACTTATAAGTCAAGTTTTTTGGAAAAAAAAAAAAGAAATCAAAGCAAATATAATCCTATAATTTAAATATAAATTCCATCCAGAGAGGAAATTTCATGACACTAAGTGACAAATTGCTGAAAGTTATCAAATTACTGATACGACTTTTTGACTTGTAATAGTATAAGGTATTAACTTCTAAAACTAAACTGTAATATGTCTTTATTTTTCAAATATGTCAAAATTGCCAGTAAGAACCATCATTATGTTTATTTTTAAAAAAGATACATTATGGCTGCTCATAAAGCATATAAGTGAATGAAAGCTGAGATAGATATAGACAAATATATTATACAGACCCATATACATGTATGTCTACATATACATATAGACTAGGGATAGCTTTTACAGATGTGGGGTTTTTTCTTTAGTTTAGTTACAGAAGTGTCCATAGGTTTCAGTCACTCATCTGAGAAGCTAGGTTGTCAACTCTGTAGCAGGAGGTAGCTGCAATCTGATCTTTTACATGTTTGAAGATCCTGGACGTGCTCTGTCTATATAGATCAGCTTTATGCTGGACACCTGAAATGCACATGTGGAAAACATGACAAGATTGGAATGAATTGTATGTAATGTACATGTACAGATCCAGGTGTACAACCTTTGGCCAGTAAAGCAAATATTACCAGATCCGTGTACAAACAATCCTAGCAGCACGACCCAAAGAGATCAGTCCCAGACTGAGCATCCAACTCGTTGCACATGGAACATGTACAGCCTGTTTGAGAAATGCTGTGCACTGTTCTATAGCCACACACCTCTGAAATGTTTTTTCCTGCTCACTCTTTCATACTCAAGCCACCAGGATAAAGCAAGGGTTAAGCTTCCACCTTTCTTTCTTTCTTTACAGAAAGAAGACTGTTCCACAGTACCTGGGTCCTGGGTAAGAACTCTAGGCAAGACAGAGTTTCCTCATATCTCTTTTAAACCCCATAGGTTTCTGCTGTGGAATTGTGCCCTGGATTGAAAATGAAACTTCTTTTCATTATGTGTGGGTTTTTTAATCTCAGTCTTCTGGTCCTTGTCAACAGCTTTTGACCATCCTTTACATGTATGAAAAATTAAGTATTCTCTTGCTTATTCTCTAAGGAAATTGTAGAATTTTCATTTCTGATTGGATTTATATAGTTTTGATTTCCTTCTTTGTTGAGGACAGATGAAGCATTCTATGACTTACGTTTGTTTGATAAGCCCTTTCAGATCTAGAGGTCGACTTTAAACTAGAACAAAGGCAAAAATCCAATTAAACTGCTCTGAGGGTATCTTAAAAGTCTAAATGAAATATACCCCTGTCTAAAATAATTACTGAAACACATAAATACTGGGGCTGTGTTTTGTTTTGCTTTTGGTTTCCTTGTTTTTTAGACCAAATAAATTTAAGTACATCATATCCTCTGGATAAATATCTCCTCATTCACATCAAAGTCTTGTTTGTTCATACTAGTGCTGTTTCTATGAAAACCTGGATATGTTGGTGATTGTTAGGTATAACATGATAGGAAATCACCAGCTTGTTTGAAATGCCGTATCTTGAGGACAGCAGAAACACTGCTTCTTAGGTCATGGCTAAACAGCCCCTTTAATTCATCAGTGCATTTTCATTTCTTGTCTGAATTTCTAATTCATATCACTGGATTGCTTATTTTAAAAAAACTTGAAAAACTAGTTCTTCTCTTGAAAGAAATTTCATTATCTGCAGGGTAAATTGTCTTGTAGAACAGTGAATTCTAGGTTTTTCCTGCAGCGAACATTGAATTACAGTATTTGAGAACTACTTCTTTATCTTGTTAAAAGTTGAAACTAATCTCCTGAGTAAAAGAGTGTTTAAAACAGTGAACTGTTTCGAGATCAGCCATTTTTAAGGCAAATCTCTTCAGAGCCATTGAATATTGTGCTTAATTCTGTTGGCTGCAGTTTGTTTATGGCAGAAATGAATTTACTGTATCTCTTATAAAACCTTTGTGGAGTGTTCTTACAGTTTAAAATGGGAGCTGAGGAGAATTACAGTCTGGGGAAACTGGATTTGGTCTCAGCTGAAAACTGGTGTGTGGCCTTAATAATCCTAGCAGCACATTTCCTTTGATAGAGTTGCGTTTTGAAGAACTGATAGGCATTATTGTATTTGCAGGTGACTGGTAGATAAGAGCAGATGAAACAAAGGGATAAACAATATTCTATTCCTCCTTTATTAAGAAATTCTTCAACAAAACTGTTGCTGCTATGAAGTACTGAGTTATTAAAGGAAACTAAGTAATATCTAATGGAAATGTCTTTCTCAGCCTTTTTTCTTATTATTATACTGTTTGTTATTATGTCTGTGTTAACTCCTTCACTATTCATTGTTTCATGTTCCTTTCTCTGTTTTACATTTTTCATCAACCTGATGCAAGGAGAGCTAGTTAGAATACATAAATTTTGGTTCAAACTGCTGCTCCAGAAAGTTCAAACAATCTAAGAGATTGTAAGTTTTTTGATAATGGTGCTTCAAAATCAAACAATAATTGATTTAAATGTTGCTGTTTTACTTCTGGGATTGCTTTAGGAAAACTAAGAAATTCTAAGATAAATAAGAAATTGAAATTTTATGTCTGAAAACCAATTCTGTACAGAAACATTTTTAAGTATTATTGAACATTATATTTTATTAATAATCCCCAGATCAACATTATAAATTTCTTTTCCAGGAAAAGCAAAAAAATTTTTTAATAGTTTCATGTGTCAAAAGATGAGAAAAACATCTTTCATTTTCTTGAAACAAATCAAGGCAATTGGTGTAACAAATATTATATGTTCATTTGTAGGCCTCTTTACAAAACCTATAATCTGAATAGTTGAAATATTTCCTATTAAGCAAGCCTGTGGTCTCATCTGAGATGCATATGATTTGGTAAAAGAGAATAAAAAGGCACTAAACAAGTCGCTGTAACCACTTGTGAAGCCTGTTGCATGGCCAACCTAGTTCAACTAAATACTTGAAATGCTGGCTAATATTTTAAATTGAAAGAGAAAACAAAAGTACTAAAAAGTAAATGTAAGCAGCTAAAAAATAATTTCTTTATTAGTAGATTTTTTTGTTGTTGTTGTTGTAAGGTCATGGCTATCTCTTGTTCATCAATCCTGAATAAGCATAAATGACACTTCTGTTGGCAGGTTTGGATGAAAGCACATATCCATTAAATTTTGTACAGTTTGTTCCAGGTATTTCTTTAAAAATATAGGAATTAATGTGCCTTTAAGGTTTAGGTTCCTCTACTCAGTCTACAGCAGGCAGGCTAAGATGCTTTAGAGAAAGAGATAAAAAATGTGACACTTGTCAAATGCAGAATAACCATTCCAGGCAGGAATCTTTCCTATAACGGTCTGTCGCTTGGCAGAGTTATAAATTTGGGGTAGGATGAAAGCTCTCCCTTAGTTTTTTCTTGCTTCTTTTCTTCCCTAGTCATGCTGGCTGGAGAAAAGCAGAATTATTCTGTTCTGAGATTCAGCTGTTTTCCAAAAGACAGCTTTTGTAGTGTTCTACGTTCCTGATTTGTGTTGTATCACTAAGGTGTATACTGAAATACAGCAGTCAATACTATGCTGAGTCCATTATGCATGGCGCATCCCTTTAAAGAACCACTTAGCATTTTTTCAATTAACACAATTAAAGTAGTGCTCAGCCCTCCCATCACCATCTCTTCGTATCCACGTGCAGGCAAATGCTTGCAGTATTTGTGCTTGGCAGCTGGTTGTTTTCTCCGTCAGGGAATTTGCAGGGAGGGAGGGGTTGCTACTAATTTTTGCTTTTGACAAGTATAATCACAGTCTAAAATATGCTTGTACTGATGAAGGTAGTGTCATACTGAAGTAAGTAAATTTCCGAAACTGTCGTCTTCCACTTAAAATGGAGCTAGCCAAAATAATGCCTCACTTTATAAAGCCTTGGTATAACCAGCTTAATTTTGAACCTCTGGAATACTAGTATTCTTGATCTAATATTCTTGATCTAATATTCTTGATCTAAATTTAATTTTTTATATGGTGATAAATGGTATTCTCTTTTGAGCTTATTATTTGTTTTCTTTGAAAGGAGGATTTTGAGGTGAAATCTGAGGAGCGTGCCAGTGTCATCCAGCAACTTGAGCAAACTATTGAGGATCTGAGGACAAAAATTGCAGAACTAGAGAAACAGTTCCCTGCTGCAGAGGTACAGACTGCTGGGACGGAGCAGGAAAATGATCACGCACATGCAGACTCTGGGGAACTCTGCAGTGTGACTCTTCAAAGGAATGAAGAGGAGACCACACCCAGGACTGTGTCACAGGCGAGATCCGTACAAACGTCACCAACAGAGGATTATTTAACACATACAATGCCTTCAGCCAGTGCACTGCCACAGCCACCCCCACCACCGCACTTAGAAGGGGGCAAAAGTGAAGGGCCTACTCAGAAATTGCCAGCTCTAGAACTACAGCCCACATTTTGTTCTGAAATCTCCTTAATTCTGTCACCGAAGCTAATCTCAGTGCCATTGGATGCAAGCCAATCAGTACAGAGTATACCGCAGTCACCTCTTCCAGGACCCAAAGTTGATTTGTCCCTTGCATTTGAAGGAGAGACTGCAATGTCAGTTTCCCGACAGCCTCTAAGTACTGTAGATGTAACTTGCAGTGAACATCCCCCTTCCTTGCCCCCAGAGCCCACATGTAGCATTCCCCCATCACTGCCAGTAACTGAACAAGCTGCCTCCCTGTCTGGAGCACATGGCCATTCCTTTGTTACTCCCATGTCTATGGCAGGATTGCCACTGCCACCACCCCTACCTGGCTCAGGACTCCCTTCTTCTGCTGTCCCAGCAGTGACACACCTGGACCACTCTTTCCCAGGTGCCATGACGTCACCTGTCCCTCCTCCTCCACATTTGCCAAGTGGGGAGATACCAGTGCCGCCTCCAGCTCATCTCCTCTCATGTCCTGGATTCCCTCCGCCACCTCTACCACCACCTTTGCCTGGAGCAGGAGTCCCATCTCCTCTGCCCGGTTGGGGTATTCCACCTCCCCCTCCACCACCACCTTTACCTGGAGCTGGTGTCCCTCCTCCACCACCTCCTCTGCCTGGCCTGGGATTGCCACCCCCAGCACCACAGCTTCCTGGAGCAGGACTGCCACCACCTCCCCCACCTCTGCCTGGAGGGAGCATTCCACCCCCTCCTCCTCCACCACCTCCTCTGCCTGGTGCAGCTGTACCCCCTCCTCCACCCCTGCCTGGTGCAGCTGTACCCCCACCACCTCCTCCACCACCTCTGCCTGGTGTAGGCGTGCCCCCTCCTCCTCCACCACCTCCTCTGCCTGGTGCAGCTGTACCCCCTCCTCCACCACCTCTGCCTGGTGTAGGTGTGCCCCCACCACCTCCTCCACCTCCTCTGCCTGGTGTAGGTGTGCCCCCTCCTCCACCACCTCTGCCTGGTGTAGCTGTGCCCCCTCCTCCACCGCCTCTGCCTGGTGTAGCTGTGCCCCCTCCTCCACCTCTGCCTGGTGCTGGTGTCCCTCCACCACCCCCTCCTTTGCCTGGGTTGGGGATGCCTCCTCCAGCCCCACCACCTTTGCCTGGAAGTGCACCACCCCTTCCAGCACCAGTCCAGGGTGGAAGCTACCCAGCAGTCCCACAGGGCTGTGGTTTTCTTCCTCCTCCGTTACCATCTGGTTTATTTGCAATGGGGATGAATCAGGAGAAAGGGAGCAGGAAACATGTGATAGAGCCTTCTCGACCAATGAAGCCTCTTTACTGGACAAGAATTCAGCTTCACAGTAAAAGGTAAGTCATAGAGTTGTGTAGAGTGGTGGTTTTGCTTTATGGCTGTCTTGATAGTATTGTTTGTCATTAGCAAAAGTTTTTCCTGCTAGGTAGGTCTTTGAGAGAACATCAGTGCAAAGAGGATTTTATGTGTAATTGTGTATGTAAATAGGGTGCCCGTTTTCTCTAAAGGGTGCAGAAGTTACTTGCACATGGAAGCTCTTTGATGGTAGTGTTTTCAGTGCCCTTTGGGGCTACATATCACATGTGGATCAGCGATCCGGGGGTGATGGTGTGCCAGCAAGTGTTCTGTGAAATGTTTTTCAAAATGCCATATTTGTGATTCCCCTCAAATTTCAAAGTAGCCTTGGTCTCTTTCTGGAGCAGCTTGCAAGTTTTGGTAGTGCCTTCCTTCTAGGTGAATGTATGCTGATCGCATTCAATCCTTCTCTTTCCTTTCTTCAGTGACCTAGAAATACTTTTTGTTTTTTTGTTTTTTTACCTTGTACACTCAGCAGGCTCAGATTCAATCTGCAATTTATTTGCATGAAGCCATTCTGATAGCCCTTGCTTTGATATAAACTGGTTTCAGTTTTTGATGTTTTTTGGGGGTTGGTCAAAGATCTTTACTGGTCATGAAAAAAGTTTCCTTATAAATATTTTCCTTATATCTCTGAGTAGTATTAGTTCTAAAATCCGTCTGCTGTTATTTAATGATGAATTTATTCCTTTTCAAGTTCTTGCCACTGTTGCACAGGTGGTCTGTAAATAACTGTCTATTTCTACTTCTCTTCCTGTCCATGTCTGTGTGTTTTATAGCCCATATACAGTCTATTTTTACTCCTATGCATGTAGAGTGGGTGAATATAAATAAGCCTGACCATATCACACATGAAAAGAGAAGAAAATCCAGAAGTATGAGGAAGAATCAACAGTAGTTCTTATCAAAATGCTTCTAGTAGAATTCAGGCAACAACTTTAAAATTGCTGCTATTTTATTTTTTTCATTCCTCCATTTATGACCTTATTTAGTTTGACATTGCCCTACATAGGTCTTTTGCTTAACTTTAGAGATTCTAGTGCTTCACTTGTGTGGGAAAAAATTGAAGAGCCTTCCATAGATTATCATGAGTTTGAAGAACTGTTTTCTAAAACAGCTGTTAAAGAGAGGAAGAAACCCATTTCGGACACCATTACAAAAACAAAGACTAAACAAGTGAGTACTCATTTAATTTCAGATCTTTTCTAGGCTGTTTTTTACAAAAAGACAGATTTTTGCATGCAGCTGAGATGAATTATGTCAGGTGTGGAATTGTTACCATATATAAATACACATGATAGAAAAATAAGAAAAGGAGAGAATGCAGGATGGATTTCAAAGCTGTACATGTTAAAGGCTGAAGATTTCTTTTTTCACAAATTACTTTTCAAGTATGTATTTTCTTAAAAATATCTTTGCTTTATCCACTTTAACAAAAATAATACCAAAATAATTAGGTGCATATATGATGCTTTGAAATTGACTGCAGATGTGCAAGGAGTAGTATATATATTATTCTGATTAATTTTATACATTAAATAATGAATTGCATATGAAGTACCATGACTTCAGAGAAAAATTATGCTTCAGAATCTAATTCCTAGTGTTATACCAATCAGAATAGTTTTAAGTTTGTGTTTATGTATATAAAGAATATGAAGTTTATACAGACAATAAATGACAAGCACAGCTGGGAGAAATCCAACATTAATCAAACTGGTTTCTTGAGATAGAATGGTGTTCAATATAATAAAAATGCAAAGAAAACTTTAAAATGCAGAATTTTAAACCCCAGAGTAAAAGAATTGAATCTGAATGTTTACATGACAATTTGGCTGTAATCTTCTTGGTATCTGTGTAAAAATCAAATTGTGGTATGCTAAGTAATTTTCAATTAAACTTTCAGGTCAGAGAGGGAGGGTGGTCTCGTGTGGAATCCTAAAAAGCAGTTAAAGTTCTTGTTTTATCTTGGCTTCATGTTCCTGTACTCAATTCAAATCTAGGCAGTTCTTTCCATCATCTTTTGACATGCAGGTTAGTGCTGTACAAGACTTTATTCCACATGGGGTACACAGTGTGACTCTTTAAAATCTCTATTCACTAGACCTTATATTTGAATACGACCTATTAATTCTCCACCTCTTGGTTCTGGAGATCTTTCCCCCACAGACACATTTTGGTCAGGTGCTGTACTGCGCTGACAACCTGTGGCAGGCAACAGATCTGGTAATGAAGTTAGGATGATTTTCCCAGTGTTGGATAAATCCTTTCTCTGGATGGATGGGAAGGATAGTGCAGACACACGTATCCCTGTGCTGCACTAGGCTGTACTAACTTGGATGGAGGGAAATGTAAGCTTCTGTTGCTATCTGCAGTAAATCTCCAGAGTCCAAGACCTTTGCTCCTCTTTCCTCCTTCTAGAAAAAGGCATTTTTTTAATGGTTATTCTTAGCTTAATTACTATCATAGTTGTTAAAGTAAAAAAAGGAATTAAAAAGTGATGCTGTGTGTCCCCGCACATTTCATAAGATTTGGTGATGAAAATCTCTCAAAAGAGTAGAAAGCATGATTGTTTACTTCTGTAACATAAAGAGAGCTTAAAGACAGACAGTGATTATGAGTAAACATTAGATGTGGATTTTAATACTAAATATTTCTTTTTCTTGCAATACCATAAATTTAGATAAGTTGTCAGTAAATATAAAAAAATGTAGCAAAAGCTGAAAAAGATGACTGGTTGTTCTTCAACTTCTTTGAAAAGAGCAGGTTTTTTCTGACAGAAGTTTCCACACAGAAGTTTAAAGCAATCAAAGTAGTTGCTGTCCCTAGGACAAACATTCCAGTGAGCCACCATAATTCATAGAATTCTGTTCCTATTCCTCTGATAAACAAAGCTACTCCTCTCAAAAATAAAAAGAAATTGCCTAATAGAGAAGTCTGGCTTTTTGACCTGTAGTATCTAGGGGGAGAAAATTGACGAAACAGATAAACAGGCTTTCATTAGAACTATGGCTAGAGCTATCATTTATTGCAGATTATATATATATTTATTTTTTTATTTTTACTTTTATAAAATTATATTTATATATAAAAATACATAAATATATTACTTCTATTAATATATAGGAATTAATATATTGTATATTAATATATCAATGAATGTATTTTAATATATTTTATAATTATATTTATAATTTATATTTATAATTTATTTTTATATTTTATATTTATTTATAGTATTTAATCAATGTTAAATAGTCATGTGTGAGAATCCAGTTAGGGATTTTCAGAGTACTGCCATAAGAGAATTGAAATAGAACAGATTCACAAATATATTCCACTTACGGCCTCTCAGCAATTTGGAATGCAGGACTTCATTTTTAGAATTCTCTTCATTTACACTGCAGTAAACACTTGGATAATGAAATCTCTCCATGTTTAAGAGAAGAAAGAGTTACTTGGGGAAAGCAGGGCTGTAATTCCACACGTATGTTTTTCACAGGGAGCACCCAGCACTGTTTAAGTGGTTACTGACTTACATGGCTTCTATGATAGTTATGGGTGTTGTAAAGATCTTACAAATGGTGTTTCTGTAGTGATTTTTACGGGGACATGTTATACAAAGCAGATGTGTTTTGTCACCTGTTGAACTATGAAGAAGCACTGTACAGAACAGAACCAGGACCCTCACTCTGCTGCTTTCCAGAAAAGCTCTTGTCTGGCAGCTGGCTTTGCTCCTTGCGTTGATGTGCAAGGTCTGCTGAGTGAATGTATTGCTTAGATGGATTGGATGTAAAGTACTGGCTACACTGGAAATAGTAGTCATGAAACAATGTACAGACAACTTTCAAATGGATAAAGTATTTGGTGCTCTGTATCAACATATGATTTTAATAAAACTGTTTTTATTACAGGCTGAAATAAAAATGTATTCTTGCACATGGCAGGAGGGAGAATTCCAGCTAATCTGTAGGAAGATTTGATAGTTTTGGGATGTTTTAGTGGGTGAAAGATTAACGATTTTGAAGTACACTGCTGTTCTGTACCCAGGGCTTTAATTCTCTAAGCTAGAGAGTGCATGCATATTTTGTTGTGTTTGTTGTGTATGTATATAGATATGTATGTTATAATTAATTTCTGCGTAGTGAGCACTTTTTAAGTGTGTATTCTTATTGCTTTGGGTTGATTGGGGGTTTTTTTGTTAATGAATGAGATAATTTCACCCTACCCAACTATTGTCTGTAATTGTTTTCTCAGCATGATAATCTGCAAGTAATACAATATAAATCTGTAACACTTAAAAAAAAAATCAATATTACACCCATCATTGAATGAAGGATGCATTAGAATGAGAAAGAAACAAGTGTTATTATTTATTTGTGAATGCAGCTGATTTTATTCTTATCACCTCTTATTTAGTGCTATGGCAAAAACTGTGGTTTATTTCGCTCTGTTAATGCATATATATCAAATTTTCAGCTGCTGTAAATGTGTGCAGGCTCACTCAACGAGAATGCCTACTAAATCTTCAAAGAAAGTTCTTTATAGGCTATATTGTAGGTGGGGCTGCCATTGCTACCTATTAAAGTGGTCTGACTTTCATTAGTAGTCCCTTTTACAACATTGCCAAAATTTAGCTCTTTAGATTGCAAGCTTTGTTTGGTTGGGTTCCCCCCCACCCCAATTTGTGTCTCCTTCATTTTGCCAGTGTTAAGAAAGGAAACAAGGTCTGTTTTTGCTCATGTTCGCATAGTTTCATAGACTCAAATTATGGAGGAATTTTATTATATGTATATTTTTAGTTGTATAAAGGGTGTCTTGAATTTTGACACTCTACAAGTTATAAGTCTGTTTATGTTGCTTAGGAGGGACTTCAGGTATAATCCTAGAAGATTTTCTTCAGACTTTTTACTGGTAGATGGAAAACTGGAACCAAGAGGAGGGAGGCAAAGGAAGATAAGTAACTGGGGAAGGAGTTAAAAACTGACAGCTGAAAATACAGAGCATATTAGCTGTGATTCTGTGTTACCTCTTCCTCTGTCTAAAGTAATTTCACTCAGAACCTTTTTGTGAGATTGGGGTGTTTTTGACCTGGATGATCCTTTAAACCAAATTGTCAATCTCATCAAACCTGTGGTGTTTGACAGAGCTGGGGGTAAAACTCATCTTGTGTCTTGTTCAGCTGCAAGTATTGCAGTATTGCAATACTACAATACAGAGTATTGTATGTAGTTACAATACTAGTTTTGATTATGTGGCTGGGTAGTCTTTTTCATAGAACCCTTTCCATAGCTCATGTCATCTGCATGGAATGAGCACAGTCTGTAATGATTACTCATTAACTTAAGCTGTTACCTGTGTCAAAAACTGCTTTATAGCAGTTGTTGCAGCACTTAAAACACAAGTAATTAGTAAAGCAGGAAGAAAATGGTCTCATGATTAAAGCCACATACTCAAGAATGACGGTAAATGCAATATTAAGAATATACTTGCATGGCAAACATTGGCCTGTGTTAATTAAAATAATTCAGTGGAAAAATGGTACATAATCAGAAAACCTTGATATCAGTAAGCATAATAAAGATATAGAATGGACTGAGCTGACTTGCATAGGCTACTTTTCAAACTTTTGAATAGTCATTTTAGAAACTTTACTGATAATCCTCTAACTGTACTTTTGGAAAATATTATTGAAGTAACTGCAATGAACTTTTCAATCGCAGACCATGTGCTTAAAATCTGTCATAGAAATGAAAAAAATGTTAAATATTTTCTCATGTGGAAAGTCCACTCTGAATCTATTGACATTAAGATTTTAAATACTGTTTCCACCCCAGAATATAAATAGTAGATTGCTAAAATTTCATTTGGTTTCAAAAGCCTCAGGTGCAAAAAAGATGTATCAATGAAAGAGTTTAAATTATGATTTCAGGGTATTTGAATTTTAAGTTGGATGTAAAGAAGCTGTGGGAAGAGCATACTTCTGGAAATAAAGTGCCACTCCAGTCCTTAGAGTTAGAACATGGTTCTGGTTTTTTTAGTAAGGAACATTTTACTATTGCTTAGCCTCCCATTGAGGAACACAATGTTTATCTAACTTAACTAGCTTCTAATTGAATTTAAGCAATCTAAGTATATTTTTTTCACTTAATGTCATAAATTATGGATATTAACTG